TACTTGGGTGGGACTCGAACCCACGACTTCCTACTTACTAGTGCAGATGTCTTAACCACTTGACCACCGAGCTTGCCGGGGTCGAGTGTTACCGGTCACACTTACCATCACATTAATAGTGGGTACATGTATAACAGAATTGTAAAGATGCTAAAATTGGCCGTGTCGGAAATTTATGACTGAGGCCAGAAGTAACGTGTGCAACTGTGGGAGCTGAATCAGCTGATGGCTGGCACCTGGCAGCCACAACTGCTTCCCATACGCTGGCGAAGCGTTATGTAATATTGATCTGGGTCACTGCACTTTCCCTTGTGATGGATCTTGCTTTATGCGTAACAACTGGGTCGGCCATTTGCAGTGATTGAGTTCACTCAGTGCCTTTGTAAGGCAAACTTACCATGGGTCACTCAGTGAGTTGTTAATCCATCAATTGAATGTTTGAATTTAGATCAGTTTAGTAGTTTCATATCTGCTTGTTGCTTGTTGCATGAATATTGCCGAATTACCGGTACTGTAGTGTAGTCTGCATAAAAAACAACCAGCCAGTAGTGGGTAACTGTGATCCAGTTAATGTGCCAACATAAATTGTTGACTTTGATTACATAAGCACTTAACTGATTAACCCTGCTAAGGGTTTTTGCTAAGGGATAGTACATGCACATGTATCTGGGCAGTAAAATTTCCCAAAGTGACTTTACGTTTTTATTGCTATTTCAAAAATATTTAGATGGACACTTTTTGGGGACACACTCTATTTGTTTTTACCCTTTGGCAGTCTAAAGAAGGGGAGCGGATTATCGACCAGAAGAGACAGATCCAGAGTGTCAGGAGCTTTGCCGACATCTTTGACCAAGAGGTCCAGTCCCAGAAAGAGGAAGCCGAGAGGTTAAGGTCACCGGCCAAGATGGCAAAGAAGAATGCCGAGCAGGTGGCCAGCACAGAACCCGAGGCTGAGGTAGGTACATGAAAGCAAAGCAAGGGAGCGAGCGAGTGAGCGAGCGAGTGAGCGAGCAAGCGAGCATTTGTCCCTAACATACTGTGTGTCATCAAGCTGGCGCTTATCTCTAGTTCCTTAGCACGAAATGACTGAGAATATTTCCAGTTGCCCTTGGGTAACATTTCAGTCCATCCCAGGTTGCTCCCTAGTTTATGCCCGTGCCCATTATCCTGGTTGGAGAGAGTTAGGCAGAGATGAAGTGGCTTGCTGAAGTCAGGACCATATGGCTTGCAGCTGGATTCGAACCCCTGACCTTCTGATCGCGAGTCGTATACCTTAACTTCTCGGCCATATTTCCTCTACCCCCCTCCCTGCTATAAAAAGTAAAGGAAAACATTGTCCCCTGGAGCTTTGGTATTCTTTTTTTTCTCAGAGTTGCACATCTTGCACAAATTTGTTAATATCTGCAGCAGTTTACAGTAACCCCAACTCTCCCAGGAATTTTCCTGTGTGTCATGTCTTGTCCACTTCCCCCTGCCCAGATTTTCAAGAGGCCTATCAATACGTTAGGTTTACCGAACATTATGAGCACACTTACCTTCTACTGGTCAACTTAAAACATCAAAAATACAATGTATGTGATCATGGCGTAACCACAGATATGCATGTGATTAATTAGCATGTAAAATTTCCCTTTTTAGCAACTGCAGTGAACTGACACGTTATCAGCCTTAATCGTGCTTCAAACTCAAAGCTTGAAAATGGTTCTCTTTTAGGTTTCAATTAAGCTTGCAAGAGTTGTTCAGAAACTCCATTAATCAGAGGAAGCATTCATTGCTATACTTATACAGTTCTCTGTTCAGTTCTTGAAAAACCACTTTGTAATTTAAACAGTGGCTTCCCTTCAAAAAGTACAAGACTACTTAAATTAAAACAATGTGACACATTCCATGCAATTGATCTCGGGAGCTCGATGAACAAAAGGGTGAGCCTACTTAATTGAAGGGTATTTGTACAAGTAATTGACGGTGCATGTTGTAAGTGTGGCTTAGTGAAAAATATTCCTTTGGACGGAATCGGATCTTTATGCTGCTCTGTATATTGTTGGTTGAACTTTGCCTGAAAATTGGCTGTTTAAATGGAAACCGCAGCAACAGTCATCATAATCTCGCTGTGCTTATCTCAAAGTCTTTGTTAGCATCTGCCAAGCATCACAGACCTTCATGCTCTCATCCCCTCCCCCCCCCCAGCCTCACTTGCAAATGAGGGCTGGACCACAAAAGTGAATTGCCCGACAATGAAGTGGTTATTCTGTCAGCGTCAACAACACCATGAAATATTTAGGGGCCGCTCATTTTTCCCTGCGGCCATAAATCTTTGATGTGTTCAGGGTACAGCTGTTGCCAGTCACTCTCTCTAGCTAATAAAAACCCTTTATCTGGCCAGCCCCGTGTGACAGATGAAAAAAGAAAGAAAGATGATGGTGATGATCCGAAACATCCCAAGTCGGAGGCAATAAACCCAAGCTAAGAACAGCAGAAAATTTTGTAATTATTGATGTAATTACTTGAGACATGTTTTCCCAGATGCTCTGAAAAGGAAAAAAAAAAAACGATCTATCAAAAAAAAAACCCAAAAAGGGAGGGGCGGCATATCATTCTACTTCTGTTGGACAGATGTCAGGATGCCTCGACTGTTTCGTGGTTGTTGTTTTTTTCTCCGGGAATCTGTTGCGGTGTGAAATCTTATAAATACTAAATGGGGGTTCCCCTTTCCCCCCGGGGATTGGCGGGAACAGTCAGTTTGCCGTGCCACGTTTTATGTGTTTGCTTCTCATCATCTTGCGCCACAGGAGTTAGTGTTCCGTAATTAGCCGGATTTTTTTCTTCCACTCTCTAGTTTTTTGTATGAGGGGAATCTTTCTTTTTTCATTATCATTAATTAACCAGGAGGGATGATTAGGTGGCCTATGTATGCATGATGACATTCAGTGTGGGGATGAGGGGGATTGAAAGTGCATCACTCGGTTCGCTGGAGTTAGAGTGAGGAGAGAGAGAAAGCAACGAGATGAATCAGTTGTAATCTGGAAAGGACATGTATTGGATTTTTGTTGACTTGTGGGTTTGCAGTTGGGATGTTTGTGTTACCATGGCTTTTTGTTTCTTCCATGGGTGGTAGATACCTGTACTGTAGGCATTTACCGTACATTTTAGGGGAAACTGCAACAAGGCTTCTTAACTATTTTTTTTTTTGGGGGGGGAGTATTCATGGTATCGTTGTTCAGTTTATTTTGATGTCATTCAGCAGATTCACATGAATGTATCAAAATAAGTGATATGAGGGGTCCAGGTTAACCACTTGCTGCCGGGGTTTCCGGTACCGAACATATATGCTTTATAAGCATGGCTGGGGTCTCCGAAATCGAACAAAGGGAACTGGGCCTTGTAACAAAAGACCGTACTTGAAACAAAAGACCAGGCTGCTGGACTTTACCAACATTTTTTCACTATCAATAGTGGAGATAATCTAGCCTTGTTTTGGAACAGTATACCACGGTTTGGGGCATTTAGTGCGAGTGGATTACCACCGGGGACAAAAGCGCTCCACCACCGCAGCGATGAGCCACACAGCACCGCTGCACACTAATCTGGCCCCTATTGAAAAGAGGTCAGCAGCACACTGTGCCAGGTTCGTGAACAAAAGAAAGTTACATAACACCGCACAATCCGGGCTCTTTTTACAAGTCTGCATGCCTGGCTGAAATACTCGGGCGTCAATAGATTTTGTTTGACAGATTAGAGTAGCCACCAGACAGTCATTCGTGTGGGTGTAAATGCCCATTTATTGAAATGATGAATTTTTGAAGAATTTTGAAAACTGAAAATCTTGAAAATGTCTCAATAATGTGCACTGCATTTTTCAAACTACCCGGCAGCGAGTGGTTAAAAGCAAATGCTTGTCCTAGATCTGAAACAGGTACTTACAACTGAAATAAATGGGTGATTCCAGAAGTTAGGGGTCCAAAAGTGACATTTTTGTCTCCGTGTTACCTTTGTTATTTTACATGGAAATGTCACCGGAATTGATTTCAAACTATTGCTGTTTGTTTGGCAGGTAAATTGCATTAATTCATCACTTTTGGAAATCAGAAAATGTGTTGTGAACTTACAAAATCATATGTCAGATGTGACAGGATCATGAAAAAAATGGACCCCTAATTTCCGGAATTTACGCTGAATTCTATCATTGAATAAAGTAGGTATACAGTAAGCTGTTTCAGTTGAAAAGAAAATTTGGAACAAAATTTACCCAGTAATATTTTTATTCATATAAATATCTACATGTATGTTTTGCAATTGAACAATTACAAGGAAGGAAATTAAAAATGCAAACATTTCTTGGCTTCTTCAGTGCCCAAGCTTGTAACTTTCTTCCTTATGTATGTTCATGTCCTTTGTGTACCAGTAAAATAGAAAAAGAAAAACACAAGTCTCAGAATCCTTTGCAGGGCATCAAGTTTAAGGACATCACATGCAAGGGTGCGGTGCCATTTCAGGCATGGATTCCCCAGGTCAATCAACACAGAAGGAATTTCCATTGTTTGCCATTCTGTTATTGGTGTGCTTTCTTGTCATTCACGTCATTATGTTTTTGACTGTTTTATGTCTTCATGATTGGGCTTGGTATGCATGAATTAATGTAACTGACTTTTCAATTTTGGTATGTTTTCAGACAAACAGACAAGAGGACATACTCAAAGAGGATGAACCAGCTCCCTTAATTTCGGTGAGTTGGTTTGCTTGTCACACCGTTGACACCCGATACCTGTGCATGTACTCTTTTCCAGGTTACTATAAACTCAGTGGGTCTGTTGATGCCTGAAAAGGGCTTTATTCTTGAGATAGCCTTTTATGATCATGCTCACCAAATCCACCTTATTGAACTATTTTGCTATAATTACTTGTATTGCCTCTCTTTGAAAACTATTTTTCAGTTAGACAGCAAAGGTGACACAACCTTATATCAATTTTTTGCACTGTCTATCAGAGCACAGGGATGGTAATCTATAATTTGTCTCTCTAATGCCAAGTCTTCGTTCCCTCACTACGTTTTGGAAACCGTGTTAAAGGGATTGCCTCAGTTGTCATTCAGAATGGCCGAACTGTGAACAAGGCCACTTATCATGTTGGCAGCTTCACTTTGGAATAACAGTGGGCAGAAGAAGGCTTGTGACTCGAAGGCTTAAAATGCATGGCTGTAGGAAGCAACATAAACAAATGGAATTAAAATGAAAAAGGTTGGTTGGTTTGGTTGATTTAGGCCTGTTACAGATATGGAAGAGATTATTTGTAAGGAAATTGTTTTTTGTCGCTGCTGTGAGTGGAAAATTGAGCTTTGCTATTCTGTACTTCTGTATGATTGGAAGTTTAATTTTTTTCTGACAGACAAGGCAATTTTCCATAGATCAGGTGACTCTTTTCTTCTGATATCTGATTTTTTATATTTTTTTCTTTTTTTAAATTTTATTTCGCACATTCTGTCACAAATTTTGTATGTTACAGTTTTCCATATTTCCTCAGCTTCCCAATGTCTTGCCTGTTTGAAACATTCCAAGACATGAATTTCATTTTACGTCCTACTCATAAATGAACACGTGTATGAAAATGACATCCCTCCTTGGTTAATCGGAAGTGAAAAGTGCACTTTAGGTAATGGTGAATGTTTTCATGCTGTTTCTGACAAAAAATGGGGGTTTTCTGTTCAAGTTTCATGTATGAACCCAGAATATTCTCATCCAAAAATGTTCATGTGAAAACTTTGCCCACTAGTCCACTGTCAAGTACTGCAACAGCTGTGAATTTCCAAAGAAAATTGAAGACTGCAAAAATCCAAGATTCTGGCAAATTTTGGTGCTGAGATGCATGTGTCATTGAGGCTTCTTCCTGAAATGACAGTACGGTTTTGCTCATGAATATGCAGGTCCATGTTGACTTAAAAATCCCCAAAGCACCCAAATGCCCTGAAAAATGGCAAAACCATATACTTGTATAAATATCAGGTGAAAAGGGATGCAAATCAGCATATACAAGGACCGTAGTTAGAAATTCATGAGGCATGAGCTCTCTGGGGAAAAGTCCAAAAGCCGGCCAAGTTATCCAACTTCCCCCTCCTTCCCTTTCTTCCTTCTCTAGTTCTTCCTAAAAACAGGGAGAAGTAGTCCAAACAGATGGAATAGAAACACTGACTTCCTTGGGGAACCTGGCCAAATGCCAAAAGTATTCATGCCAGGGTTCCCTGCCATAATTCTGGCCCAGTAATGAAATGGCTGTCATCGCCATTGCCCGAGAGCTGGTCAGGGAGAGTGAAGCGTGTCCTCATAGCAGCCGACAGTTTCACACATCGGCAGTTGTGCAATCGCACCCACGCATCGTGCCTTAACCTCGTCTCTCCCCCTTTTTTCTGATGGTCCACTCTGAACCAATCCCCTAAAAACGTCACACGCCAGCGATTCCTGATTACAACTCGTCCCCTTATTAGATCCAACTCACTGACTTCTGCCCCCCTCCCCATTCCCCCCAAATGCCATACCTCACCCTTTTTTTCTGTCTCTGACCCCCCTGGAATGTGATTTCAATTCTAATCGTTGTCCCCTCACTCGCACGTGGCACTTTGACTCCTCGGAGGCGTCGAAAGTCACGGGTGCTCGTCATTTGTCAGAATGTGCCGAAACACGTGTCGGGCTCGGCCTGTTTTGGATGAGAGTGTTTGAAATTGGAAAGACAGTGGGGGGGGGTTGAGGTCTGTGGAAGAGAGACCAGAAGGAAAGAAGGGGAAAAAACTTTGGTCTCCGGGGGAGGGGGGACCCTTCAGAGTGTTAGGCACATGTGTTGATGATTATTTCCTGAGTCATTTCTGAGGTAACCGCATTTGGGAATTGCGGTGTGAATTACTCATTTCTTCAGCTACTTCATTAGGTTTTGGTGCATAACACATACCAGTTGGTACATGAGTGCTCACATTCAACTGTGAAGTTTTTCAGGGAGGTGGTGGAATTGTGTCCATGGGACACATTGGGGTTGACGCAAATGCTTAACCATGGTCCATAATTTCATTGTTTATTTTTCAAAGACTAGTTTTTGCCAGATGGTTGTCTTATGTTGGAAACACCCTGAGAGAGGGTCACAAACCCTTTGCATCGTTCTCATGTGAGGTTATTATACTGATTTTGTCATGCAATATTTTCCAGAAATGTACATACTTGCAACACAACTTTTTCAGCAGGATGATTTGAATGCCTTGGTAAGATTTCTTGGTGTAGTTTGATTTCATGCTGTCAGTCCCAGCAATATTTGGATCAATTCAAAGTGAAAGTCTTATCCCCTCCCCAAAATATGGGGGGGGGGTCACCGTGTGTGTATATGGTCTGCCAAAGAGTCAATTAACAATTTTCTTCATTTTTGGGGGGGACCAGCCTAACTCTCCCAGGAACAGTGCCAGCTGTGAGGATTTGCTCTTGCCACAGGTACAATGTGATTAACCAATGTAGCATGCTGGTGTTGAATATGTACCTGTGCATGTGTGTTTGTAGCAGTTTGTCAGAAGATCAGTTCCATGAGTCAAAAATTTTAGGCCTTTTCACACTGTGGTTTGCTAAGCCTGTTTGATGTGAACACAGGTCGGCCATGCATGAGTGGTCCAGGGTCAGCTCAAACAGTGAGTGGATCATGGTTCATTCAGTAGTAATAGCAGTTTATAGGCAAGTTGGCCGTAATTTCTGATTTTCTACATGTACATGGAAGGAGCCTCCAGACCCTGGTACCAATCAGAGTGTAGAAAAGAACTTGCCAAAATCTTGGGACTTGACCTGGGCCCCACACGGGGATATAGGATGATGTGAAAAAGCCTTGTTGTGCACATGTACATGCAGCTGTTTCTATCAATTTTATGCAGATTAGTACCTGCACCAACTGATCTTATAGTGGTTTATCATTAATCCCAAGAGATTTGAAAGCCTTTATTCTGGCAGTATATTGTGGATCAGGATCATCAGACAACCCAAGAGATCTTTTTTTTTCAAGCTGATGGATTTGGTTCCAACTAACCACAGATAACTGTGGGGCAGTTGAGTATTGTTGCATTCCTTAAATATCAGGCATGTGGCAGGGCTTGTCCTTTATTTTTTCTGACAGTAGCCCGCCGGACTAGTAAATTGTGATTTTTACTAGCCCGCAGAGATTTTCACTAGCCCATGAAATGTGTGAAAAAAAATAACAATTAAAGCAGGTTTTTGACTTAAGAAGGTTGGTCCACCAAGATGTTTCTATCAACTGCTATCACTTGGGGTGATAGCGGTTCGTGGGTAGACTGGTTCCCGTTCCCTACTCACTCACCCGGCATGATTGTCCAATGAGGGGCTTGCGATCAGTTGTACAACGAAGTCACTTACGAACCGGATTGCACCAGTCTATGGATGCAGTATCGGTCCTTGGTATCTGGTTCCCAGTACAAATTGTTTGTTAATTATATTGGTCACAATATTCCAGGTGCGAGTCAGAAGTGATGTTGGAGTTTATTTGATTCCAATAAAATAAAGTTACATTCATGACAGACAAAAAGTAAAGCGTTGAAATCAAGACTTTGTTTTATTTTCTTCAATCACATCAGAAAAACAAGGAACGCGTACATATGTTAACCCTCCCGCCGGATGACTGAGGGAAGTGTTTTGACTCGCCCGTGACTGTTTTCACTCGCATGTGGCTAGCGGGCGACCGCTGAGGGGAAACCCTGCATGTGGAAGCGTGGACTTTTACTTTGTTATTCAGGAGTGATACTCAGGGTTAACAATTTTGTAAAGATGGGATACAAGAGTTTGGGTGACAGTCGAACTGCACAGCTGGTTTATTGCTCTGACTTCTCTTCTACTTCTTCTCTTTCTGAGTGGTTTTGAAGGAGGTGTAGCTTAACATAACAGAGCAACACATGAGAGGCAAAGTTAGACAGGCAAAGCTGCATCATGTATATCTCTAACTAAACCATGGCTTGGTGGGACCATTGGAAATGCAAGTCAGATGGAGTGGGTACAGTACAGGTGTATCGCATCGCACAACTAGATTCACTGGGCCGTGGTGGGAGCTGTCCTGGGTCATCACGGTGACTAGCAATAGCTGGACGGGGCCAGCAGTATGCACTGTTCACACTGCCGCTCAGACTGCAGTGTGATGAGCGAAACAGTTGAACCGCTGCCACTATGCACCATTGGCTGAGCGTAGAGATAGGGAGGACCTGGGGCTAGATAGCAGGACCAGGGCAGTGAGGGACACAGAGATGTCTCTCCCGGCAAACGGTCCAGACGTAGTGGTGATGGCCACTGCGATGCTGCAACTCATGCTACTAGCGTGGACTGGTTTGCACTGCACTCACATCGGTTCAAGCTAAGCTAACTGGGCATTCATGGTTACCACACTTCACCATAAGAACAGGTATTTTAGAATTACCGCACAAGTCTCGGAAAGGGTCCGACCGCCGCACTTCATTAGGTTTTGCTCCGCACAACAAGGGTTTGGTCCACCACACCTGACCGACGAGCTAGGCACAATCTGCACTATTTATAGGACTCTAAAGGCTTAGGAATAAATGAAATATGAGCGTCGTTGAAGAGCTTAGCCAATTGGAATCTTCCATCTCAAAGGGTCATGTAACTTCCTGCTACGGTCGTGTGCAAGAATCTAAGTGTCGTGTGTATAACGGTGAAATACAGAATAAGAAGTTGTGTACAGAAGTGTAGTTTTGGGTGCAAAAAGGATTACACAATCGTCCTAGAAAATAACTGACAGTTACAACGTCTCGGGCACATGTACATGGAACTGAATACTAGCATTCCATGGAACCTTACCACGCAGCTACATGGGGGGGGGGAATTCCAACATGCCAAACTGAGTAGAGAATACACAAAGACAAAGGAGTCAAAGAACGCATGATCACGCCAGATCACAGCATGAATAATCTAATACAAAATTAGCGTCCGTCTCTACTGCATTTCCATATGCATTGCTTAGCTAACTGAGAGACCCTGGGAATGCAAGGCAATGAGAATGAGTGAAACATGGGGGCACAAGAATTTCACAATTGAGGTTTACAGGTGCGCAACCGTATCACAATGCTCCGCTACATGTAGTCCAGGACAAGTTATTAAGACCTAAGCTCGGTCACTAGTCATTCAGTTTAATGACCGTGACATACCATACCGCACCATTGATTCTTCTTCTTGCTACTTTGGACTGGACTTGTGCTGGACTTGACTACAACCCTGCTTCGCTGCAGACCTGGCATCGGAATGTAACCATTCTTGTTTTTACTTTAAAATCAAGCATCATGGGGGGTGAAGAATGTTGGAAGAGTTTCGGGTGAAAGACTGGAATGAGTTGACATACATATAGGGTACATGTACATATAGTTGTAAGTTTGGTAATGGTAAGCTTATATGAACATGTATGTCATTCCATACAACCGGGCATTCCATTAAGCCAGGGCATCAGAGAGGGCTCGGCAAGGGAGCTGTGATGCAATTTTTCTTTCTCTGGAAATCATCAAAAGCAAGGGGGAAAAAAATAAGTTTGGTTAGAGCATCAAAAGGAGGTTGACATGTCATGCAGCTTTTCGTTCAGTGTACCTTAAAAAGGGTTTGAGGGAGATGGGATTTTGCACTGATCTTCACAAATTGGAGCTAAGGGTTTGGCTTCCTCCACAGTCTGCTTTTTTGATGTCACAGTTGCGTTATTCCTACAAGTGGCTGCTAAAACTATGGTTGGCCGGCGGTACCAAGTGAAAATGAAAAATCCCACGCAGCCTACACGTAGTACTAAATACTAATTGAAAATACAAATGTATTTAAAATCTATGGGACACACGTCCATTTCGAACGAATTGGAGTTACCAACGAAAAGGTGATGTGTCTGTAAACTTTGGCTGCCCGTTCAAGTTGTAAGCAAAATAAGAGTGGTCTACCAGGACATGTATCCATTCACCCCAGTGGGAGTCTCCTTGAACCTAGCTTTTTTACTTTCTTGCACATAATTGGTGCAGTTCCCCCTAGATGATTTGGCTGTCTTGATGTTTCGAGTCGAGGAAGATTGATATTCAACAGGTCACAACATATTTGATACTCAACCATTTTTTTCCTGTCCTTCTTTTGATGAGTTGTAAACTTGCAAGTCATTCCTGTCAGCTAGGATGTATCCATCTGCCGTTCCCCATAATTCCAAGCCAGACAGCGTGTCAAATTGACACTCTCCTGCAATTTTCTGCCGGATGAAAATTTGTCATGTGAGATTGTTCGAGGAGATATAGTCAAGTTGCAGTCAAAACTTTGTTCAAAAAGAAATATTCCTCATCCACTCCCTCGGAAATCTTCAAAGTGAAGCTGGAATATTCAAGGGAAATTTTCTTGAACTGCTAATTTATTTTTGGTTTTCACACCCAATACATGTATAAGTGTCGTGTTACCTTGTAAGTGATTGCCGTAGTTTTCATGCAAATATTAATCTCCATATTCATAGGAGTGGTGCGTCTTAAATATTGAAGTCGTCTTTCATATTCATCAGCCTTAAGAAATGCTTTCTTTAGTTGCTAATATGCATAAGTGGAAGCATACCAGTATGTAGAAATACCAGCTCCAATTGATCACAAACCCTGTAAGGTTCTAGAATTTGCTTTAAACACTCCTCTGCAGAGAGAGAGTGAGAGTCAGTAGTTGTAAACCTCTAGAGAAATCTTGGAGCTGCAAACTGGGGAGTGAAGGCTTCATTATAGCATCATGAGATTTGATAAGACAAACAACCAATTCATTTTATGCACAATCCCATGGAAGACTACTCCAGCAGAACCATTCTTCAATTTTTCCTTTGTTAAATACTCAAAATCGAGTATCATCATTTGACGTACATGTACAGGGTGTTGCTCTGAATGTTTGGAATGAAGTCTTGATAAAAATCCAATTTTAAAGCTTACCGGATGAAGTTGGGCACTCCTTTGCATGAAGATCAGTTTCTGTTGATGGAACTTTGGCCATGAATTTCACTAAAGCTAATATTGGCCAATCAGAATCAGAATTTGAAGTTCTGTCTCACAAAGGCCGTTCATGTTCATTCTTCAACTTTATTTAAAACATTTTCTACATGAAATTTGCCTGCATCTATTATAAGACAAGCAGCATCTGTGACGAGATAAGCAGGTGCTTATAAAAATCATAGAGAACAAACTTGATAAATGCTGGAGTGGTCGACTTTCCAAGTAGGTTCATTCATAAAAGTTTTGGCATGGCTTGTCATCCAATCCCATGATGCAACAAGAATGACAAAAAGGTTTATTGTTCTGTTGTTCACTCTGGACATCATACATACAATGTGCACAGTACGGTACAGGTACAGGTACGTGCGGAGGTAATTATGCAAGTCCGGGGGGGTACATGTAGTAGTTGTGGTGTCCTCTATGATACCAAGTGTGTGCATTTCTAATCATGTGTTTCCTCTCCTTGCCTGGCTGCGTGTTGGGGGCGCCAAGCCTGGACTGCAGTCCAGCGGCACCATGCAATCCATTAGCAGTGAGGCCAGCACCTCGTGTAGTACAGATACTGTAGTGCATTGGCATCAGGTAACATGAAGACAAAAATCAAAAATGAATCAAGACGTGAACACCCCTGCTGCAGTCCGACCTCCCATCATCCCTCGATCCATGTTGTGCTTCCATCCCTCTGTCTGTTTGTCGGTGTCAGCTTGCCATGGCTGGTGTGTGTATTTGCTTGCATGTAAGGTGTGTTGATGTGGTCTGTGGACAATTTAGATGGCAGTGTGGGGCCAGATCTTCCAGAATGAGTCAGACCTCGGGGGGGGGGGGGTTTTTGGGGGGGGGGGGGGGGGGG